AGGTGGATCTCTCGGAGTTTGAGGCCAGCCTGGTCTACAGTGAGTTCCAGGGCAGCTAGGACTGTTACACAGAGAAACCCTCTCTCAAAAAGTTTTATTAGTTATTGAATACTTTGTACTCATTACCCATGAACAGGAGCCCCACAGGAAATGGGTTTGGGGTGTTTAGTTCAGTTTATTGTATCTCCAGTGCCTTCAGCGTCTAGTACTTGTCATTTGATTGATTGGTTATCTAATTTATGTCCAAAGCCTTGTATTACAAAATTCCTATGCCTTCTCTTTCACAGGAATTCATTTTACAAATGAGGAAACTGAGGATTAAAAAGGGTTAACTGGAGGGTAGTACTCAGTAAATAACAGTGACTGTCATTACTACGGAAAACTTACCCAGACAGTCCATGACTGTCTCATCCTCAGGATGGTGACAGTTACCCCTCTGCATCCAGACCTCAGGCCTGCAGGCAAAGGTAAACGCATTTTCACTCTGCAGACAGCTCAGCTTTTGGGAACTTGAGGGCAAGGAGCATCTGGAAAGGGAAGGTGGCCCAGGCCTCACAGGTTTCCTGCCTGGGCTGCATTGCAGAATTAGCAGGTAGTTCAGATATGCTGCTTACTCAGCAACCTTGGGCCTTTGTGCCTACCAGGCACCAGATACTATTTCAAGAAGATTTTGGCTCAGGGGGGAAATGGAGCAGAAGTAGAGATGGTTTGGCTCAAACTTGAAATAGGAAGAAAGTCCATCTTAGGTAAGACAGGCAAGCTAGACAGACACAAACACACCGAGGCAACCCCCATCCCACCCAGTGAATTGAATTTGGCAATTATATTGGATATAAATGCCTATAATCTCACTACTTGGGTTGAGGCAGTATGGAGGCCACAAGTTCCAGGCTAATATGGGCCAACCACCCACAAGATAGTTTGGACTAGAAAGATGGCTCAGTGGCTAAGAGCACTCACTGCTCTTGCAGAGGACCCAGGTTCAGTTCCCAGCACCCACACCAGGTGGCTCACAATCCTCCAACTGCACTTGCATGAGGATTTGATGTTCTCTAGCCTTCTGTCCACATACATGCAGTGCACATAAACCCATGCAGTCTCACACTCAGAGACAATCTTTCTTTTTTTGTTTTTTGAGCCAGCTTCTTACTACGTCACTCTAGCTGTCCTGGAACTATGTAGACCAGGTAGGAGTTGAACTCATATTTGTTGGTTTATGCCTCCTGGGTTCTGGGATTAAAGGTATGCACTTATCAAATGCAGCAAGGCAGTAAAACTTAATTTTTAAAAGAACGAGTAGTTTGCCTGTATGTATGTATGTACATCAATGTGCACCTGGTCCCAAAGGGGGCATTCAATCCTCTGGCACATGAGTTACAGATGATTGTGAGCCACCATGCATTGCTGGGAATTGAACCCAGGCCCTCTGGAAAAAAGTCAGTACTCATTTTTTTGTTTTCCTAGACAGGGTTTCTCTGTAGGTTTGGAGATCCGCCTGCCTCTGCCTCCTGAGTGCTGGGATTAAAGGCGTGCACCACCACCGCCCAGCATCAGAACCGTCTCTCTAGCCCCAATAAAACTTGCAGTTTTTAGCTCACTATGGTAGCACACGCTGGTAACCATAATACTCAAGAGGCTAAGATCTCATGTTGAAGACAAACCCACTGTATAGGGAGATCCTGTTACCATACCACTGTCACTGAAGCAGTGTTTTTACTGTGTATGATGTTACTGTAGACATGCTCATGCCATGGAGAGTGTGTGCAGGAGAACAACTATTAAGAATGAATCTCCCATTCCACCATGTCATCTAGGAATTGAACTCAGGTTGTCAGATTTGTGTGTCAAGTCCCCTCTATCCCAGAGGCATCTTGTTGTCCCCCAGATAGAGTGGTATACAATCAAATCTTATTACAGAATTAATAATACAAAATGGCCTTGGGACTAAATTTCAAAAATACCAACTGATACTCAGTACACAGCCTCTGGGTGGTCACTGGGAAGCTATCAAGGTTCTTAGCTCCTGTGTACCAGCCCTCATCTGTAAAATGGGACTAAAATGGTATCTTCATTACATGAATGGCATTTATTGCTGTGAGGTACCTGTTTCAGGCTTGGTATCTGACTATGTGCACAAAATGGATGCCCTATTAATACTGGCTAATGACTGACCAATCCTATTGCTATTCCTTCATTTTACCTAAGGTTAAGAGGCTAACCAGGAGTGGACACATTAGCACACACCTTTAATCCCAGCACAAAGAAGGCAGAGGCAGGTAGATCTCTGAGTTTGAGGCCAGCATGGTCAGAGTTCTAAGACAGCCAGGGACACAGAGACCCTGTCCACAAAAACAAACCACCAACAACCAAAAAGGCAATCACTGCACTAGCAAGCCTGTTATAGTAGGGAAAGGCAACCAATGAGTAAACAAGTTGAAAATATATTTAGATGGTGCTAACACAGGACTACACCATCAGGGTAGACCCAGGAACTTCTGGCTCCCTGCAACCTTAGTCTAGTAACCTTCCTGCTCCTCACTCACTGAAAGGGTAAAACAGACTAAGGTTGTTCTGACAGTTAAGATACAGTGTAACAATAAAAACCTGCTGTTTTTCACTTGAGGTAGATTAAACAGATTTAGTGAGGCGCATTCAAGTAACACTATAGTTAAACGCAGCACTGAAGGGAAATGAAGAACTTTCTGGACAGCAGCCTGATCCGGAAACACACCTGTTCTTGGTCAATGGCTGTGGCTCATGATCTAACAGGTTTGTGACAATCAAGTCACTTTTATACAGTAATCTTCACAATAGACAGAAAACACAACTGTTTCTCCCTCACATAATCATTTCAGTTCCTACTGTTGATTATACAACATATGGAGACAGCTGTACAATGCAGGCTAGATGTCAGGACTTCCTTATGAAGTGTGCAGTATGGAAAGCTGGGGGCTGGGGGACATGCATGTTACTTTAAAAGGCAGTTAAGTCACTGGGTGCCACTGGGCCAGTCAAGCAGGAGGAAGGAAAAGACCCAGTTTAAACATAAGATTCAGTTTAAACACAATATTTCAGAGAGGGAAAGAAATCGTTCTTTGTTGGAGGCTAAGTAAACAGGAACATCGGGTGGGTCACCACCAGGGTCTCATCCTGAAAGCTTGCAGGACAACCTCCCCACTTCCTCGGTCTCTTCAGCAGGCCTCCTGCAGGGTACCCACCTTCTGTCTATGCCTCACTCAGAGGGCAATTCATCTATTGCACTTACACAATGCTTAGTCCCTTTATTTGCACACACACACACACACACACACACACACACACACACACACATTAGCCTTTTCCAAACCGTTCACTTCACAGCCACAGCAGTGACAACATCTGAAACAAAGAATGAAGCAGCAAGATGTTGAAAATAAAAATAAAGCGGACTTTATTCAGAAGATAAAGGTGGTGGTATCAGTTTTGGTTAATAAAGTTGGGCTCAAGTGTTTTAACAGGTCTTTAATGCCATCACAGACTGGCATGCCAACGGCATTCTGAATGCCAATTACAGATTGATGCTATCAAAGCTGATGGAATTTGGACTTCTTCTAAAGTCAGACTACACACATCTTAAAATAGTAAAGAGTAAGGAGACTGCTTGGTTCTGAACACCATACTGAGCAAGTCTCTCCACGTCTCCACAGACCCTAGGGCAGGATTACAGTTGCCTCTGACAGCTAAAACTTCAACATTTCAACACAGAGGGAGAGAGGGCTGGGGGAACTGAGAAAAAGGAAAAGCAAAATTAACCAATGTAATTGGTGCAGGCAGCTGCCACTCGTGGCAAACCCAAGTCTACTTTGATGCCCATTTTCTTCACATTTGCACTGACATCTTTCCAAGCAGACGGTAACTACATTCTTGAAGGAATGTGCCAAGACTCCGGGTGGGGAAGGCCCAGACAGGGAGTGGACAAAGAGCATTTTGAGTTCAGTTGCCTTAACTGATTAAAGACACCCACCCAGATGGTAGAAAACAGTAGCTGAAGGTAACTAAAAAGATAAAACGCATAAGCAGTGCAGAATAGCAAGGCACCAAGACCACAATCCAACCAGCCCATTTCCTCCTCTCCAGCACTGAATGCATCTGAGAGAAAGCTTTAGTAACAGCACTTGTCAACTGCTTCCCTGGAACAAAACATGACAAAACACACGCAAGGTTTTGTTTTCATCATGGTTCTCGGTGTACTTTATTCCCCTGCTGTCTCGCTAAGCAGCCCACACAGGACAGAAATGGGTAGCACTGAGGAATGATCAGATTGTTTTTTCCTTTCCACCAATATTTCTGCCCTCCCTAAGCCCTGCCCCAACCCTATCTAGTATCAGGAATGGTTAGTAAATCTGAAAAAACAGCAAGGGTGGAAGCAAGGCATTCAGAGGCCTGGGCCTCTCTTCCCACTAGGGCTCGAGTCCTAGTTACTGCTTGGCTCACAATGGAGCCTCTCTCCTTCAAATACTTTTTTATACACCGGGTCACAGATCAGATCGGCACTTTGACTCTGAACCTGGCACCAAAAGGCACAATATCTGATACCCTGTAAAGAGCTACTACAGATGCTGCGTATGGACAGGCAAACAGACCCAGTCCCCCTGAGGAACGGGCTTAGACAGGGAAGGGGGATGAAAGGAGTTGTGGAGAAAACCTACACCAATACCCTCTACTACAATGGAAATGAAGTGGGAATTGAGGGTTTTGTGTTTTAAATCTTCCAACTACCAGGAAGTACTACAAACTCCCTTGGTTTCTATTATCATTTCCTCAAAGCAGCATATCCAAACGCCAGCAAATCTCCTAAGGTCTGCACAAGCCAAGAGGGCCAGTTCACAGAAATCCTTTCTTATTGCTGAAAAACTAAAATTCAGGGGGCCTTGTTCCCTTTCAAAAGGGAAGATAATTCTGATTTATGGTAATCACAGCACATCACACTTTAAAAAAATACTAAAGCGTGTGAGCAGGGCAATGTTTGACACCATTTTATTCATCTTCAACTTCAGTGGAAAAATAGAACCTTTTCCTAGTGCCATTTTCATCACAACAGTTGTAGTTAGTGTATGTGTATACGTATATACACACACACACAAATTTGTTTTATTGGTTAGTTGGTTTTGAAGTGCAGCAAGAGACCAATACCGCATTGCAGTCAATCAAAGAAAAGAACAGAAGGCCAAGCAGTTTCCAAATGGTTATTTTATCAGATCGTTCAACATTAAATTTTTGTCATTTGCAATTCAAAATAGTTACCTGAAGTTTTCAGTTTTGAGCTTGTATTTACTTTTATTGTACAATTGTATTCTAAACTCTTTGGCACAGTTTTCTGGGGCATTCAAACTGCCACAATATAAGTCAGGAGAGAGCTTGTTTCTGATGCCAATTTTCAAGCATTTAAATTTGGTTTGGGTTGTGGCTTTTTCTGTCTTTGAAGTCTGCATTTTATTTGTAACAACTGTACTTTTATTTTTCTATATCCTCTAACTCCAGAGTTTTCTTTTTCTCCCCCCTCCCCCCACAGCTACATTCACAGCTGAACCATAGTATCAGAAAAGGCGCCTTGATGAAAAGATCAGGACAGGAGCTCTGACCATTCGTCAGTGTTTTCCCTAGAATAATTAAAAATGAAACCAAACCAAACCTAAAGAGCATCTTTCCTCATTCTTTTTAAAACGTGTCTCTTGTGCTGCATCAGTAGCCAGAACTTCAGTTAGTTTATGAAATGCAACATCAAACCCCTTTGTTTTCTGGGAAAAAGAAACTGCAATGACTTGAAGTTGAGAATGTGGATACCGCCTCACTCACACACACTCATTCTCAGACTGTGAAATCCCCCACGCGCCTTCTAACGGGCACATGTACAGTACCAAGTGCAACGGTACAGTGAAGGTGGGCTCAAGACCCGGGCTCCATCTTTCTCCTCAGTAGCAATGGCCAGGCTGCCTTTTACAATACAGCCCCACAGCTGAACCCAGGTCCACCTCTCCCAAACCTGTCATCCCATTCGGCACCGGCCAAGACAGGAAAGCTAGTTCTAGCCTCCCCTGGGAAGAGACAACTTTGTTTTTAATAAGTAAGTAAATCCATTGTTTCTCTGTTCCAAGATGGCTGATGTTATGTTTTTCTACAAAGTCAGTGCTTACTTAGCTCACTAACAGCACTGCTGTTGTCGGCTGTGGCAGGATTTTCAATGTGGTGTTTTCAAGCCTCACTCACTCATCCTCTCATTCCCAAACATTCAGCATCCGTGCACACTCCTCACTTCCGGGTTTTTTCAAAAGATTGGAGATTTCCAGTGGGGGTCTCAGGTCATCATCCCAATGGTACCAGATCTAAAAACAAATGGATGAAGAGGTCAATCCTGTGGCTACATACATCCCGAACTGCCCCTACGTATGAATGGGATTAGCCAACTCTCAAAGACTGATAATTTTTGTTGTCTTCCTTTGCACCATCTACCTGCTGCCATAAGGAAGCATGTTCTGTAGCTCAGTAGTAAAAGTGAAGCCCTGAGTTCATATCTAAGCAATCAATAAATGAACTCTCAAGGCTAGATACGGTGGCACACACCTTTAATCCCAGCACTTAGGAGACAGAGGCAGGTGGATCTTAAGAGTTCGAGGCCAGCCTGGTCTACAAAGCAAGATCTACGCTAGCAGGGCTCCATACAGAAACCCTCACCTCCAAACACAGGTTTGATTCCCAGCACTAATAAAGGGACATGGAGAAGGAAATAGAAACAAAATAGATAAAAAAATGTACCCTCTCACTGTGTGGTGGTGGTACACACCTTTGATCTCAGCACTTGGGAGTCAGAGGCAGGTAGATCTCTGGTCTACAGAGTGAGTTCCAGGACAGCTAGGGCTGTTACACAGAAAAACCCTGTCTGGGGGGGGGGGGGGGAGCCAAAAAAGAAAATGTACCCTCCCAAGATCTGAAGGCGGGAAGACAAGATCTTACCAAGCTTGGTTCTTCAGTTTCCTCAGTTCCTTTGTTGCCCACGTAGCAAGGGTCTTTGCTTTGTTAGTCTTCGATCTCCGTCCTTCGGTTAATAGTTCATGGATCATTGGCCTAGCTTCTACTAATTTCAGTACATCCTTCCCAAATGCTGTACACAAGTCCCTGTGCAAAACAAACACACCTGAGAATGACTTCCTGGCCGCACCAGTATCATGGGTGACGCTGCCAAACCAGGCAAAGCCAACTATGGGTTTCTTAGTATTCATTCACTTTTTTTCCTGGCTTTTTGAGATAGGGTTTCTCTATGTAGCCCTTGCTATTCTGGAACTTGCTCTGTAGACAAGGTGGGCCTCTAACTCAAAAAGATCCACCTGCATATGCCTCCTGAGTGCTGGGATTAAAGGTGGGTGCCACCACTGCCAGGCTCATTCATTTCTTAAAATTGTAAGAGATTTCTGGAATAAATTAAGTTGCAAGTATTAGAAGGACTCACCCAATGTTAATAGCTAACTGAGTGTGGTGGCACACCCTGTAACAGAAGAAGCTGACAAGGATCATGAGTTCAGTGTCAACATGGGCCACAAATCTGCGGAGCTGCAGAGATGGCTCAGAGGTTAAGAGCACTGACTGCTCTTCCAGAGGTCCTGACTTCAATTCTCAGCAACCACACTGTGGCTCACAACCATCTGTAATGAAATCTGGTGCCCTCTTCTGGTGGTGCAGGCATCATACGTGCAGGCAGAGCAATATATACATAATTAATAAATTAAAAAAAAAGACCTTCTCAAAAGAAGTAAAAAGAAAAGAAAAAACAAAACACTCCTCTGTGGACTACTGCCATTTGCACTCAACATTTCCCCAGGTGTGCAGTGGTGGCGCATGCCTTTAATCCCAGCACTTGGGAGGCAGAGACAGGCGGGTTCTAGGTCAGCCAGGGCTATGCAGAGAAGTCCTGTCTGGGGTGCAGAGCGGGGCATTTCTCTGTGCACATCTGTCCTGCGGAAGGCGGCATGACTTACCCTATCAGTCCAGCAGCACACGCTACAACTCCATCTGTATGATCCTCGTCTCCAGCAATGTGATCAATAAAAGACAAAATAAATTCTACTCTGGGTTGTACCAGCATTACATCCGCTATAAAGGAAAGAGGAGGTCTGATTAAACTGTCCCATGTTAGACAGGACTCAGCCTCTTTTCAATATGGCCACTGCTACTGTACCCCAATAGTAAGGCTCCAGCTGGACAAGCAGGTATACCAAGTGATACCAAAAAATTATGCCCCCCAAGTGGAACACAAAGGAAAAACTTCCACTGTGGGCTTGAGAACACTGGCATAGCTGTACTTTCCCCTATGGCCACATCAGGACCCTAAAAAAGACAACACTAGCAGTGCGGTACAGTAGGGGAGCTTTGCTACTACACCATGCAGCCCTGGGGTTGGTCCCCTTGTACTCCACCATCTCTACTACAAGGAAAGAAACAAAAGAAAAACAAAAAGAAGCACAGAAGAAATACCAATTTCTATCTATTGCCTCCCCCCAAACACTCTCTTTTCATCAGGGCACCACTTCTCCTTCCTTTCTTCCTATATGTAGCAGGTGCTCATTCATCAGTAAGTTAAGTTACACTGGTCAGTGGATTTTGGGAACTGGGCTATATACTCAACGGTGTACGTTTTCCTGATCTCCCTTCAATCCTTGGACGATTCCTGTATAAGCTTCCAAGCAGCTTTCTCTTAACTCGTTCAGATAATCCACCATGTCAAAGTCTGACTGTAAGAGACAAAGAACAAAAAGCTCTGTCACACTGGCCATAAACAGTCCTGCTCCTATCAGAGCTGGTCTTAGAAGAGTTCCAAGCTTACCTTGTCCACCTGGGCTTGGGAGGCCTGCTGCAGAGTATTCAATACGACCTCTAGGTATTTTTTAAACTCTCCACCAATGGCAAGAGCAATATCACCAAACACAGACAGAATCTGTGGCTTCACAGACCTGTGGACATTCTCATTCTAGCAAGGAAAAAAAGAAAAGGTAATTTAAACTTGAGACACAAAAACTAATGAGTTACTGTTGGATAGAAAAATTAAATATTTACTTTACCATTTCCAAGAAGAACACATGTTCCTTTAATTAACTTTGCAACTTTAGATTTGTCTATGACAATAAATAATTCTCTTCCCCCCAAGTTCACAGACAGTGTCTAAGAATCTACAGCTCCTTGTCACAGACCTTGAGATTTAAATTATTTTCCAACTGGAAACTTTTTCAAAGACTGACCAATTAGAAAACAAAATGCTCACCCCCAAGTTCTCCAGGAGCAGCTGCATGACTTCATCACAGAAAGGTAAAATGTTAGACTGCAGGGCTCGGCACAAGTCTCCAACTAAGCCAACAGCTGCCAAACACACCTGCAAAGAATCAAGGAAATGATTTCCCAAAAAGAAAAGGCTTCCAGCAGAGTACAGTATTCCTTTTACCTAGTCAGCGGTCCCTCACTTGAACCAGAATCAAAGAACATATCCTTCCCTTGCGGAGATTATGGAATTTTAGCCAGATTTAGCAAGAGAACCAGGGCTGTCTGAGTTATCAGTAGGAAAGGATGATGGTGCAGAACATGGGAAACAGTGCTGCTCTTTAGGGCAGTGGTGACGTAACTTGGCAGCTGCCCTTTAATTAGGACTGTTCAGGCAGTCAACCTGTGATCTCTATCTGGCAGATCCAATATCCTTCTTTTCACAGAGCACCTCCAGTGCAGACGCTAAGGCTGCAGAAGTCTGATTCCACCTGTACTACTCTTACATGCTGCATTCATGAGAGCATATGATTTTGAGGACTGGGATGGAGCTCATGGTTTAGTTAAGTGTTTACCTAGCATTAGCATACAACAGGCTACAAAAGTCTGATTCTCAGCAATGTGAAAACAAACGAAAACCAAAGACACTATTTTGAAAAGCATATCCTACCTGGTACTCAGCATAATTTTTCAATCCAATGCCCAGGAATGGTTTAAAGGCCTCCATGTACTTGAGGAATTCACCACCCAATACTGTTAATGAAACAAACTATTAGCTAATCCCAGCAACAAAGGACACTACATGAACCAAGTAACCCAAACATTTTGGGCAGAATATGTGTTGATTAGTATTTATATCATGAAGACATTCAAGCTTTCTGTTTGAAGGGTCAAATTCACATGTCGCATGGAGAATGCCAAGGCTCCTCTAACAAAGTAAAGTAGCAGGGACTTCAAGGAAAGAATAATTTTTAATTGACTTAGCAATGCTGCTTCATGTCCCCTCCTCTCTGGGAAGCCAATTTGAAAACAAGGTTTCCTAGTCGATCAAAGCAAGGCCTTAACAAGTCACAGCCAGGAAAAACAACAGAAAGACAGGGGTGCGGCTCAGTGGTAGAGCAAGGCCCTAGGCTCAATTCTTAGCAGCAAGAATGGAGAAAGGCAGACAGAACTGCAGAGCACAGCAGCTGGAATGGCCTTACTCACCACACTCCCATCATTTTAGGAGTCATACTTTTAATTTTTTTTTTTTAAGATTTTATTTATTATGTATACAACATTCTGCTTCCATGTATATCTGCACACCAGAAGAGGGCACCAGATCTCATAACAAATGGTTGTGAGCTACCATGTGGTTGCTGGGAATTGAACTCATCAGGACCTCTGGAAGAGCAGCCAGTGCTCTTAACCTCTGAGCCATCTCTCCAGCCCCATACTTTTAATTTACTTAATCAATTTTACTTATTTATGTTGTAAATATTATGTGTGTGCATTGGCTGGCAGAAGCTAGAAGAGGAAGTAACAGTTGTTTGTAAGCCACCTCACATGGGTGCTAGGACCCAAACTCTGGTTCTCTGAAAGAGCAACAAATACTCTGAGACACCTTTCTAGGCCCTGCTTTTGTTATCTTAGTACAAGGGTCTCACTCTATAGCTGAGGTGTCCTCAGAACTCGAAAGCTTGTCTCAGCTTACCAAACATACAGGTGTGCGCTCCCCCAACTCTGCCCCACCAAGATTCCTGCATCCTAGGCATGCCCAGTATAGCAGAGGGTAATGCTGAGCTCCTGATCCTCCTGCCAGCACTACCTGAGAGCTAGAGGAACAGGTGTGTTTATGCAGTTTATGTTGTTTTGGGGGCACCCAGAGCTACCTACTCTTTAAACAAATACTCTGCCAACTGAGCTATATATCCTTAGCATCCTTTAGTTCTTTACCCAGAGGCGACTCACTATGTATCATACGCTGGGCTCTAACTAAATTCTCCTATCTCTGCCTTTAGAGTGTATAACTACAGGCATCTACTATCTCACCTGGTTTTGGACACAGGCTCTTTATTCCAGAAATAGGACTGGTCCTCACAACAGTGGTCTTTAAATAATGGCCTTATTAATATATTTAAAGGTCACCTCTGATGAAGCATTCTAGAGTTCCAATGTGCTCTTAAATGCTTTAAGTGCCCTTAAAAAATAAGTCTGAATACTGTTTTTCAAAGCAATTTTGTATAGTTAGATATACATACGTACAATAGAAGTCAATCAATTCCTAAAACTCGGGCAATAGTTTATTCCATAGGACACTAAGCCCTACAATCTATTCAAGCCCAAAGCATTGTAATCCAGACCTGACGGTGCCAAAAGCAGGAATGGAACCAGAACCTTTCTTGTTTCTTCTATCCTTAAACAAGAGAAACCCTTAATAAAGCAAATTGATTTTCAAGGGAAGAAGGAACCTGACAGACCCTTTGATGAGCACTAACTACCCCTGGAAGGCTGCCATTCTGACGTAGATGCTAAAACTAGCTGGCCATTACTTTATGGAGGCTGGCAGGAAGGCAGTGATGTAGTCACTTTCTCCTGCCCTCTGCGGGTACAGAGCCTGGGGTTGGCTGCTCTCTCACCTTCCACCAGCGTGCTAACTGCCATCAGGGCATCTTCCTGCACTCCCCCAGACCCAGCTGTGCTTTGGAACATCCGCAACAGGGAGGCCATGACCACATCAGAGATCTGCAGAGCATCTTGATGCTGGACTTTCCGGAGTACATTCTGTAAAATGAACAAGATTTCAAGATCTGTTAATTCTAAATCCACCAATCAGGACATAAATACACCTTTCTGAAAAAGAGCCCCTGCCCCTCCCCCCTTTTTGCAAAAGCAATACATTTTCCTTAAGAATTCTGACACAGCAAATCATCTTTAATCAAACATTCATTTCAATGATCTCTTCTATTTCTCAATTCACTGGAAACACACACACACACACACACACACACACACACACACACACACAGAAAAAAGTCCTATGATACACAACATCACCGCATCTGCCTGTCAGACAGAACCATTACCCTCTACACCCCAGCCCTACTAGAGATTTGAAAGGCTCAGTTGTTAAGAGCAATGGCTGGTATTCCACAAGACCTGGTTTTCGATCCCCTGCACCCACACGACAGCTTACAACCATCTCTAACTCCAATATGAAGAGACCCAACATCCCTTTCGGCCTTCTTAGGCACTTTATGCACAGAACACCCTCCCACCCCCCCGCCAAAAGAGACAAACAATGAGAGGTGGCACCATTGTACCTGAAGAGTAGCGCAGAGTAGAGACTGAAGGTCATTGAACTGGATTCTATCTGATGTGCTCTGGATATGGGACTGAAAGAAAAAAGGAAATCATGTGTAACGGAAATTTTCTACTTGAAGCAATGACCAGGACCATTGCATCTACTTGAAGCAATGACCAGGCCTCTGGAATGCTAACAGTGAGCATAACCACCAGAAAGCAGAGGCAAGCAAAGCAGAAAGTAAGCTGCAAGCCTTTTGGGTTCTGGAGACTGAGCTTAAGGCAGTGCTCGAGTCTACAATGCTTACACTCCCCGGTCTTACCTCCATCTGAAGCACCTGCTGCAGCCTTTCCATAATGACCAGGGTGGTCTTCTGCACTGCGGGGTAACAATCCTTGGCACTATTTTTTACAATTTCCATTAGAGACTCATATGCAGAACTTCTCAGGTTGTTCTGGTGACCATCAGGTCTATAAGGACACAAAGCAAAAACCGTTAAGGCCTCAATTTAGAAGGAACAGAAAAAAACGAGCTGGTAAAGCAGACTATTTTCCCCAAAACAGAAAACCAGAGGTTGGTGATGTAGCACACATAAAGCCATGGTTTCAGCCTCTAGTACTGTAAAATAGGTATGACAGCAAACCTAGCAATATCAATGAACCAAGCCAGGTATACTGGCACAGGCCTTTAATCCTAGCACTTGGGAGCCAGAGGCAGGCAGATCTCTGTGAGTTCAAGCCCAGCATAGTCTCCAGAGCGAATGCCAGGATAGGCTCCAAAGTTACACAGAGAAACCCTGTCTCGAAAAACCAACAACAACAACAACAACAACAAAACAAAAACAAAGGGGCTGGAGAGATGGCTCACTGGTTAAAAGCACTGACTGTTCTTCCAGAGGTCCTGAGTTCAATTCCCGGCAACCATATGGTGGCTCACAACCACCTTGAATGAGATCTGGTGCCCTCTGCTGGCATGCAGGAAGAAGACTGTATACTAAATAAATAAAAAAAATCTTAAAAAAAAAAACCAAAATAAAGCCAAAAGTCCTTTGAGCCAATATTATGCTTATAGTCTCTAGAATTGGCTATAATTTATAATAAGAGCTAGTGAGATGGCTCTGTAAGTAAAGGTATTTGGTGTGCAGGCCTGGTGCCCTAAAAGTGAAGATAGTGCCAACTCCACAAAGTTGCCCCATATGTACCTATACACATGCACTCATGCGCGTATGCATGCGCTTTAACAATAACCAAAAACTTAGGGTGTAGGGGAGGGAGAAACCTGACTAAAATTTGAGGTCCAAATACTGGCCTGAGGTAGAACTGAACAAATGCAGGTTAACTCAAGAAACTGCTTGAGCAGCCAGAAAGGAAACCCAAGAATGACAGTGACTAACTTGGCATGGGCTACGTGCTACTCCTCTAGGACCTCTCTGTAAGAGATTGTAACTCTGGAGGGTTCTTAAGCAGGAGCTCCCCGTGTAGATTCAGTTGACTTCACCGAACCTGAGATTCTCCTGCCTCAGCCTCTCCAAAGGTGCAACAACGTCACCTGCAATCTCATCAGTTCACTTCTCCCCCCATCTCTGTTAAACACAGCACCCACTATAGATAGGACACTTTTAACTTCTCCCGAGAAGGTACAGCACTGTGTCATGTCCTAGTTTTCCCCCTCTAGAAAGCAGGATTTAGACATGCTGTCACCTGTCTGTGGTCTCCAGCAGCTTCTGAACTATCAGCTCAAAGGAAGAAGACAGACAATAGGTGGCCGGCTCCTCTTGATCATCAGCGACATCTGCAGCTTCATACGCAGCTTCAGCCAGACTGGAAAAAGCCTAGAATGCAGAGAGATTTAAGGGAAGTCCTAAGGGAACCCCACTAGGATTCTTTCATTCCTCCACCCCCAAGATACCTTGAACAGTATTCCCTAATTTACAATTAAACTGCTGTTAAATCCCCAACTTTTCCTGTCAAGGTCATCAAGAAAAGTTCATTACTCAGCACCCACATAAGGTGATTCACAACTGCTTCTAATTCCAGCTTTGGGGCATCTGACACTCTAGTATCTCTAGAGGAAGCACATATAGTCGTACACCCACTTTCCTCAACAGGTTTCTGTGACAATACATAATGCCAGGGAGACCATTAGGGACTCCATGGATGGGAATCCATTAGAGACTGGTCATAGAAGCATCCCTTGATGAAGAATTTTTTTTTTTGGGGGGGGCACTAAGGGTTCTTATTCAAGACTTAGGTTCAATTTCCAGCACCTGCATGGTAGATCACAAGTAACTCCAGTTCTAAGGGATCTGATACCAACAATGCAGACAAAACACCAATATACATGAAATTAAAAAAAAAAAATTCCATATGGAAGTAGCTGTATTAATACACCTCTTTTTGTTTGTTTGGTTTTTGAAGACAGGGTTTCCCTATCCTGGCACTCTCCACCCCTATCCTGGCACTCGCTCTGTTTACCAAGCTAGCCTCAAACTCAGAGATCCGCCTGCCTCTGCCTCCTGAGTGCTGGGATTAAAGGCGTGGGCCACCAACGCCTGTCTTAACTCACCTCTTAAGCATATGCATAAACATACACTCATAATTTCCAAAAGAACAAAAGAAAGAAATATAAAAGTTTAACCAATAACCAGATGTGGTGGTATACACGCTTAATCCCAGCACTTGGAAGGCAGTGGCGGGCAGATCTCACTCTGAGTTTGAGGCCAGCCTGGGTTACAGATTGAGAACCTGTCTCAAAAGTATGGGAGAGGACTGGCTGTTTTGCAGAGGATTCAGGTTCAGTTCCCAGCAGCCACAAAGTGCCTTACAATTATCCACAATTCCAGTTCCAGGCAATGATAACCTCTTTTTTGGCCTTGACAGGCACCACGCACATATAAATGCATACAGACAAAACACTCATGCACAGTAAATAAAATAATCAAAAAACTTTTTGTAAAGAAAACTTAAGCATTTATAGTATATGTACTGCCAAGTAATCTGCCAAACTCCCTAAGAGGCAGAACTCTTTCAGCAACCCCACTCACCTACAGTGACTCAGTGTAGAAGCTGACCACCTCTCCTCTTACTCCCATCCCTTTCCCTTTACTTGTTACAGCAAAAACTCCACTTTAGTTAGAACTTGTCTAAAAGCACCAAAGGAGAAAGGAAAGAGTCTCTCCACCCTATGACTGCTCTTAGTGCTTTGGGACCAATCAGCTCCACTGGTTCCTGCTGTTGCCATCTCCCCCAGATCCTAACTGAAGATATTAGGAGACAGGATTCAGAGCAGGTCTTCCAGTGGGGTAGGTACCTTTCTCTCCCACACCTCCTTTCTTCCCAATAGCTCAGGACAAGCTCCTGTCTTAACCAGGAAGAAAACCCCTTACCCAGCACACATTTGAAGCCACTCTGGGTTCAGCACTGAGGCCTTCAATCAGACATTGCAGCAGGGGTGCCAAGTAGACATCATTGATGGCGGCTTCAGGGAGCAGCTCGCAGATCCTGCCCACCGTCCATGCTGTTGTGTCTCGAACAACTACACTGGGGTCTTTCATTAATTCTATTAGGGTGGGCATAGCCTGTAAATGGAACAAAGCAAAACAAATTGAAATCCCCACTGACCACTATTCAAGAGAATTGTGGCACAAACCTATTAATTTCAGCACTTGGGAATGAAGGCAGAAGGATGTAGAATTCAAAGCCATCAATGGCTAGTGTATGTACTAAATGTTAATGCCAGACCTCATCTGAAATATCAACATCCTTCCCCACATAAGGATGGAGGACTTTAATGTAAAATATGACCAAGATTATCTGAAAATAGATGTTTCTAAAACAAAATAACAGCAAACAGAAAGTGTAAAATGTTTTCTTCCCAGCAGGCCCACGATTTACTCCCAGAGAAGCATGTGGATCTCTTTGAATTTGTGGCCAACCTGGTCTACAGAGTGAGTTCCAAAACAGCCAGGGCTACACAGAAAAACCTATCTTGAAAAACCAGTGGTGGGGAAACGTGGGCAAGAGTTCCCCTCTCTTCACTACATCCCAATATAGGATTCTTAGTTTTCGGTGGATACTATCAAGCAGTCTATTTGAAATTATTTTTATCCAGATAGAGACCCCAAGAAGTAGTCACTAATAGGACCAGTTTCTACCCCGAAAGACTGATCTCTCTTATGTACAAAATCCAAGAACAATGAGGTGTTCTATCACTTATACCAGTAAAATAAACACATTTCCACAAGAAGACTGTGTCATTATATAAATGTCAATTCTATTCACAGACTAGAATGACACTGTCACAAAGACTCTGGGAATGGTTGGTGTAAGACTATATCCAACATTTGAGTAGAGGCAGGAAGAACTGGAGCTCATAGCCAGCCCCAGCCACACAGCTAATCTGAGGCATACAGGAGACCCTGAGTTAAAAACCATAGGGTAACTGTACATAGTAATCCACTCTAATTCTCATTTACATGGAAGGGCAAGAGAATCATGAAGACGTTATGAGGCCTGGAATTTGGAGCAAGCTGGGCATGGCAGCTTCAGCTTGTAACTCCAGCACTAACAAATGAGGCAATAGCCACCAGTTCAGATTGTCCAAAAAGTCCTAAGTCAACAGAAAAATGCTTATAATGTGGCATTAAAAAAATTATGATGTAATCTTCACTCGACAACTCCATCTTGTTGTCCAAAATGCACAGAAAACAAAGCTGTATTGTCCAGAGGTAAGAATATATTGAAATTGACCCTTTTCTTGACCTTTTCTTTATTTTTCAAGTTTCTGGGTCATGACTTAGTCTTAAAAAGTTAAGTATATTTTACCCTTAATGATGGGCTACTACAGTGAGGCAGGGAAAGTGTCACACAGCACTGGCTGGTCTCATGATTAGCTAGCTAAGGCTGGCAGCACTGGTTCCCTTATAAGAATGTGGGTTTTAGGTCTGGGCCACAAACCACTCAACTATGTGAAAATAACCTCTTCAAGTGGTTATAGTTTAAATTAACACACATTCACTCTATTCCATTTTCCACTCTGTCATTTCCTCAAGTTTTACCTGTATAACTAATGGTTTGAGCTGATTAGGCTCTGGTCCTTCCAAGATACTGCCAAAAGCCATCACTGCTGCATCCCGGTATCGCCAGTCAGGGTTTTTGATGTGTTCTTTAATGAAGGGAAGGACATGCGGCACAATGTCGTCCTCACAGCAGGTGGACAGAAGCATGAGGCACACCCCAGCTGCTTTACATGGGTTCCAGTCATCGTCGTCATCGTTTTCATCCTGGAGGAAGAATGTGACACCAGGTAAGCTTTCGTTTCATGAATTGATGCAAAAGGCTCTCCATACACTTCCAAACATCATTAGAGCTTTATGTTTACGAAACCAAATAAAATAGTAAACATTTATTTTTTTAAATTTTTCTCCATGTGTCATCTCAACATAGTCCATATCAACCTAAGTAGATGGAAGAAGATTCAGCTTAGTTATTACACTCAATGAGAATAAAGAAACTCTAGCTAAATACAAGAATGATTAACTACCCAGCCTGGTGGGCACAACTGTGACACTAACACATGAGGGCACCAGGAAGGAAGACTGTCAGGAGTTTGAGGCCAACCCAGTTTATAAAGATCCCGTGTCTCAAAACAACAGGAGCTGGACATATAGCTCAGCCAGGAGAATGCTTACAAGCTCTGGGAGTGGTTGTCAACAATACATAAAGCAGATAGGTTAACACATGGCTATCATCCCAGCACTGGAAGGCGGAAGCTAGAGCAAAAGTTCAAGGCCATCCTGTTATATACAGCAAATTTGAGATCAGCCTGGGCTATATGCAACCTTGTCACAAGAAAAAAACAGGCAGTAGTGCACATCTTTAATCTCAGCACTCAGGAGGCAGAAGCTGGCAGGTCTCTGTGAGTTTGAGGCCAGCCTGGTCTACAAAGCTACACAAAGAAACCCTGAACTAAATAAAAAGGAAGGAAGGAGACAGGGAGAGAAAAACAAAATCTGTTCCAAAGGGAAAAATATAGCAAACATATTCAAAAGTAAAGACATTAAAGATAACCATTGTAGGGCTGGAGAGACGTCTCAGAGGTTCAGAGCACTAGCTGATCTTCTAAAGGTCCTGAGTTAGATTCCCAAAAACCACATAGTGGCTCTCAACCATCTGTAACAAGATCTTATGCTCTTTTATGACCTACAGACATACATGCAGGCAGAACACTGTATATATAATAAGTAAAAAAGCTTTAAAAAAAAAAAGTATCCAAAAAGAAAAAGAAAACTACTCTAGGTGCTGGAAAGACAGAGTTCCAGGACAGCCAGGGCTTGAAAAAACCAAAACAACCAAACCCCAAAACAAACCATGCATCAAATAATTTCATGAACACATTAGATATATCGAAACAGACATTTTAGCTGGCATATCAATTCTACATTTTTCCTTTCCTCTTTGAGGCAGAGGGTAGCAGGGCCTTGTATATGCCAGTAAGCTCCCTACTCCTACTGCACTGCACCATGGTCCACAACCTGTCTTTACTGAAACTTACACTGTCCCAATAGTGTAGCTACTATATATAGCACTCAGGAAATCAGAGCAGTGTGAAGTTTGTTCACAACCAAGAATACAGGATACTCAGGCACAGTCTCTTAACAACTCAGTGCCTCAGCCCAGGATCCCTGAGTCATCTACAACACAACACCAGATGGTTGCCAATGTCCTCCATGGAAACTGTTCCACATGGAACCAACCCACCCTAAGTACGGTTTCTCACACACATCCATTCAGTCAAGAGGCTCACCTGTTTAGTTAGTGTCTGTGTGAGGATGGGAACCAGGTACTGTAATGCTCCCTTGGCATAAAACTTGCTGGTGTGCTCAGGGGGCCGTCCTTGTTCTGCTGCCTAAGGAGAAACATAAAGTAAGCTAGTTGTAATGAATAATACAGGAATGAATACAATGAGAACTCAAACAGGAGTATAAGGCTTGTGGAACTCAGCACACAAGTGGTAAACAGACATACAGAAGCAAAACACTGGACATTTGGAGATGCTCCTTACACTTTTATCAACTTCAGTGAGATTTATATAGCATATAGCTTTTAGAGGTATGTTCCTGAACTAGCATTGAATCTCAGCTGCTATAGTGTTTATCTAGCATGTGCAAAGCCCTTGGCTTAATCCCAATATTTGCATAGGCATGGTGGTGGTATAGTCTAGAATCCCAGCCCTTGGAGATGGGGAACAGAGGAACAGAAGTAGTTCAGGGTCATAGACAGATGTATACAAAGTAATGGTGTGTGTGTGTGTCTAGGGTCAACCTTGAATACATCTAAAAAAAAAAAAACTTAATTCATAAATTCATATTAATAACCTGCTATCCAGAGGTAACAACTCAGTGGGCAAAATGCTCACCTTGGCTTTGCAGAGTTCCATCTCAACACACACACACACACACACACACACACACACACACACACGCTGGAGAAATGGCTCAGTGGTCAAAAGCACTGGCTGCTCTTCAATTCCTAGCACCCACATGGTAGCTCACAACTATAACTCCAGTTCCAGGGAATCGGACACCTTCATACCAATGCATATACAACAAAGTTAAGTAAGTTATAGCCAACAGTGGTGGTGAACGCCTTTAATCCCAATACTTGGGAGGAGAGGCAGGCCTGGTTCGAGGCTAGCCTGGTCTACAGAGTGAGTTCCAGGATAGTCAAAGCTGCATAGTGAGACCCTGTCTTGAAAAACCAAGGAAAAAGCCGGGCTATGGTGCCGCACAGCTTTAATCCCAGCACTCGGGAGGTAGAGACAGGCGAATCTCTGTGAGTTCGAGGCTACCCTGGTCAACTGAGCAAGTTCCAGGACAGCCTCCAAAACAATACAGAGAAACCCTATCTTGAAAAGAACAAAAACAAAAACAAAAAGAAAATAAAAAAACCAAGGAAAGTAAAACAGAAAACTGGATGTGTAGCCAAGTGTAGTGACAATGCCTTTAATTACAGTGCTTGGAAGGAGGCAGAGATGGGGATCTCTGAGTTCTAGGACAGCTGGAGCTACATAGGAAGACCTTGCTTCAAAAACAAAATAAACAACAAACCCAACTGAGTATGATTTACAAGTTTATAGTCCTAGTACTGAGGTACAGAGATATGTGGATTATGGGTGCACTGGCCACCAGCATTATCAGCAAGTCCCAAGTTCAGTGACATAACTTACCTTAAAAAACAAACAAAAACCACACCACACACACAGGGTGGGCAACACACAGAGCAGTGCACATTAAAATCAATAAATTCTGACACATAATGTTCTTTTGGCTCAATGCACATAAGAGCTGGGCAGTTAGCCGGATGGTGGTGGCGGAGGCAGGTGGATCTCTGTGAGTTTGAACCAGCCTGGTCTACAAGAGCTAGTTCCAGGACAGCCTTCAAAGCCACACAGGAAACTGTCTTGAAAAACAAAAAACAAAAACAAAACACAAAAACTGGGCAGTGGTGTCCATGCCTTTAATCCCAGCACTCAGATAGCAGAGGCAGGAGGATCTCTGAGTTCGAGGCCAGCCTGGTCTACAGAGTCAGTTTCCAGGACAGCCGGGACTGATACACGAAGAAACCCTGTCTCGAAAAACCAAAAAACAAAAACAAAAGAAAAACCAAAAGGATGCACACAAGTTGCATAAATAAGGCCAGGGTGTAGGGAAGGCTGTATTGGGATATACTGGCAGGGCCGGAAGCATAGCTCCAGAGTCAGAATTCCAAGTCAAAGATAGCCTTCCCCTTATTCAGAGCTCATAAGTTGTTCTCAATTATGCACTTGAGCTTGTATTCAGATTTCAAAAGGGAAAAATTTCCTATCAGCTACCGCCTCAATATCAATAAACTGACAACCTGCTGCCCCCTTGTGTTCAATGAAGAATTATCAGCACAAATACCTGAAACTGGAGAAAGCATGAGCTGTCTCAGTATTAAGGGGATCTGGCTAGCAGAAAAACCACAATCCTATAAGGACAGTAGCCCGGTCAGAATGGAACGCTTCTAGAAGAATGATACCCACAAACAAAATGTGTAAGATCTCAGCAGAACAGCAGCTCTTCTCAAAACGGCTCACCCCAAGCTTACCTCTGAAGCCTCAATGGCCAAATCCATTTCCTCATCGCAGACGTTGGACCAAAATTCTATTCCTTGTAGGGCCACTTCATCAATGTCACTTTTCATTGCTTCAATTGTGATCTTAAAGAGGGAAAAAAAAGATACCCCAGAGCCCAAGTAAGTACAGATTTACGTTAGACATCCAAGTTAAATTTTTTTTAACAATCAAAGATAGTACACATTTTCTTGGCACACCACTGGTAAATTTACCATTCATGCAGGGCTCATAGCTGTAATCTCAGCCCTTTAAGGAGACTGTTGAATTTGTGGCCATCCTGAATTACATAGTGCAATCCAGACCAACTAGTGTGAAATAATGTCTCACACTAAATAACAAGCCCTAACACTCATACTCAAGTAGTCTTCTTGACTTCATGTTAAGTTAAAAAAAAAAAGAAAAACTCCACAAAAATCACAAAATAGCAATTAAAAGCAATGAGCCCTGTAACTAATTACAAGTTCAAATTACATAAAATACTTACCGCAAAAAGGGCAGGACCCATATATGTCTCCATGTACTGGTAATACAATGACATTATCTTCACTAGATTCTGTAAAGCAGCCACTCTTACCTTTAAGAACAGATGAAACAGTTACTATGTAACTAAACAGTCTGCACAGGTAGACCTAATAAACTAAGGATACCTTCTTAATGTTGTCATTTGACCCCAATCAATCCCTCCATTTTCACTGTTTCTTCCTTCTCATCCTGCCTCCCGCCATGTTTTACCAATGCCTGAACAAACTCACGCTGCTTAGACTGAAGATGTCCCTTTCACTAACTCCAAGGGTCCAGTTTAGGTTACAGCAATAGCAATGCCATTTCTATGATGAGGATAATCATGGCAACAACTTGAGGCACCAAATCAGCAAAGTTAATCAAAACCTCCTTCACACCTCTTAAAGGGTAACAGTCTCCAGTGTAGAAAACTTTCACTATTAAATTTAGTCAAAGCTGGGCGGTGGTGGCGCACACCTTTAGTCCTAGCATTCGGGAGGCAGAAGCAGGCCGATCTCTGTGAGTTCGAGACCAGCCTGGTCTACAAGAGCTAGCTAGTTTCCAGGACAGCTTCTAGGGCCACAGAGAAAACCTGCCTCAAAAACCAAAACCACCACGGGGGGTTTAGCCAAACCTTGTTTAATTAATTGATTCCCTAAATTTCAAACTGGATGACTGAACCTAGGAAGATAGGGACAGACAATTTTCATAAAGCAACAAACTTACCCTTGTATCTGGACACTGTGTGGCTTCACAGACCACTTGCATGATAAAGTGCCGTTCAGACTGCAAAAAAATAAAGAACATTAGCAATGCATTAACTGCATGTAGGAAGGTCTGAAGATCTACAAAGAAAATCTGTAGCTAAGTCAAGGCTCTGCAACATTCTGGTACAATCTAACACCCTTCCCTGAGGCAGTAAGGGCTATAAGCAGTTTGCCTCTGGTGTCTTCAGTATGACCCTTCCTTCCCTCTAAGGAAGTCTTTAATCTTTTAATTCCCAAGGTGACCTTCCCAAACAAGGTATCAGAGAGGAGGCAGACAGGAAGATGTAGGTCACAAGGTTTAAACAACAGCTAGTGGGGAAAAAAAAAAAAAAAAAAAAAAAAAAAAACCCTACATGTAGGAAAACCACTTTCCTCACAGGCAAATTTTAAGATTATCAAGTGTGTAGTGTTAAGTGTGTAGAAGCAGAGGCAGGGGGATCTCTGAGTTTGAGGACTGCATGTTCTGTAATGAGTCCTATGCCAGCTAGGCTATAAAGTGAGACCCTGTTCCCAAAAACAAAAAATTTAAGAATTGATTTCAGAGACAAAGTTTCCTGTGAATTGACAAATTCACAAACATGGTGAGGAAGAACAAAACAGTGAACTCAATTGCTAGTCTTCCTAAATCATCTGTGACCTAAAATGAAAATTCCACTTCTGATCCAGTTAAAATCAGTTTGCTGTAAAGCTGGGAATGGTGGCACACACCTGTAATCCCAGTACTAGGGAGACAGGTGGCTCTGAGTTCCAGGACAGCCAGGCCTACACTGTGAGACCCTGTCTCAAAAAAACAAAAGAATAAATAATAAGCCACACACACATGAATTAGTTTGGTATGGTATCCTAGATTTCACTACTCTACTCAAAGGCCAAAAAATGAAAAAACAAAAATGAGCCAAGGTGTCAACAAACAGAAACCCCCAAATACTTTCAGACCATATGGTTCAGTAATTCCACTTCTGAATATAGGCTAAGAAGAACTGAAATCACCTCTCAAAACCCTCCATACACACGCTTGGACTATCTGAGGGGCCCCTGGCAGCAGAACCACACTACAAACCTGGTACATGAGCTAGTTTGTTGGAGCCCATTTCCTCTGATGGGATGCCATGCTCAGCCTTAATGCATGGGATAGGAGCTTGGCCCTGCCCCAACCGATTGTCCCAGACTTTGTTGACTCCTCATGAGAGCCCTTACCCATGAGGAGTAGTAGACAGGGGGTGGGACTGGGGGGGGGGGGAGAATAGGACACACGGGAGGAGGGGTGGGAAGGAGAACTATGGTTGGAATGTAAAATGAAATTTAAAAGTTTAAAAAAAACACACACACATTCATGTTCACAACAGCACTGTTCACAGTATCCAAAAAGGTGGAAGCAGCCCAAAACAGAGCTTGATACACAAAATGCATGACATCGTGCATGGATGAGTCTTGAAGATAGTATGCTAAGCTAAACAAACAAACAAACAAACTAGCTACAAAAAGGTTAAGTATACGCCAGGTGAGATGGCTCAGTGGGTAAAGGTACTTACTGAGCAAGCCTGATGACCAGAGTTCACCCCTGGGACCCATGTAAAGGTGAAAGGAGAAAATGGATTCTAAAGTTGTCCTCTGACCGATTGATTCACTGTGTGCCACCCCCACATACACAATAAATGATAGTAACTCAAACTTGAAAAGGGCAAATGTAGTCTGATTCCATTCACAGAACAGAAAGTAGAATTGTGGGTGCTAGCAGCCAGAGACTGGAGAAATGGGAGTTGGTCCCTAGAGGTATACAGTTTTGCCAGATGAAACAATGTGAAGAATGTTTCTATAGCAGAATGAATAACTGACCTTATACTGAAAATGGTCAGGATGGTGACCCGGGTATTTCATCAAGCCATACACTTCATGGAGGTACCTCACAAGAAACCTCAACTAGAATGGAGACGAATGCTTCTAAACAAGGTAGGACTTTACAGTCTTAAAACTAAAACCAATGCTTTGAGTCCTTCACTCCTCATCCTCGGCCAGGTTAGCTATCATGTGCCGGTGAGGCGTACCTCTTTGTCAAAGTTTGCTTTGGTGAACTCCAGTGAGTTCAGGAGTGCATTAGTAGCAGCCAGCTTCACATTGTTACTAGGTTCTTCTTTCCTCATCCCCTGGATTATGGCAGTCAGAATCTCATTGGATTTATCTTGTAGCTGCTCAGGGTCCTAATACAAACAGAGAAATACAGTGGTCATAAGAACATGCTGGTAGCTAATCAGCAATCTTTCTAATTATAAAATCTACCTAGGGAAGTCCCATGACTGACCATTTCTCCATTTTTGACATTTCTGCAAATTACCTGCAAAATAGTCTCACCCTTCCAGAACAGTACAAAACTAAAATGAAACAAATCAAACTCATCATCCCTAACTTCTTAACATGTCTCTGAACACAGGATGCCCTGGCTTTCCCCCCTTCTGCATATACAGAGATGGCAGTCTTGTGGCTTTCCCCACCTCTGTCAAACAAAATAAAGCTATCGAACAGCCAAGGACCTGGATACAACATCTAAGTTCAGGTCAAATGTTATAGGCCATGTAATAAACCAATGCTGAACAGATACCAAAAGGAGTAAATCTCACCTGCAACAGTCCAAAGAGGGATACACCTAATACTTCTGTGGTTATAGCAACTAAACCAACTACAGCAAGTGAGGAAACTGGCTTATAGCCTTAAATAAAAAGGACTGGAACATTCACAGTACTCCAAGAACCCTGAGCCAGCACTTGAGAAATGGAGGCAGAAACATCAGGAGTTCAAGGTCAGCCTGGAATATAAGAGACTATCTCAAAACAAAAACCCAAAGTATTTCATATGGAGATCATACCTAAGGGTCTCATGAATGCTAGGCACTCTACCACTTAAGCTATATCCCAATAGCCCCATTCTGAGTTCATGATCTTTAAGTTCCTTACTTCAGAGCAATGAGACTATAGGGCCAAAGTAAGTATTCCCATCTTTACAACACTAAAAGAATCAAAGTACATAAATTAGAAACAGTAGGCAAGTACTTACTATATCTTGACAAATGTAACCAATAGCTTCCAATGTGGACTCTTTCATGTGTTCTGTGCTGTTAGGGTTTGTAACATTGGCTACCAGCTGAGGAATGAGTTCTGGCCACTGGTTTACTGGGATCTCTGCACAAGCAATACCAGCCACACATTGTGAGGCAGAACTAGGCCGGTAAGTTTCTGTGCCCAAAGTCTGTAAAACCTGGGGGGGGGGGAGGAGGAATAGGACACAACAGAATATCAATTTATAACGTTCTTTGAGCATATTTAACACCACCACCCACTTCTTTATCATATGTCTCATTTTTGTTGACCTCACCCACAAAAAGACTACTTAAGTATAAACACGGGTCTCCAAAAGCTAAAAACAAAGCTGACAGCCAAATGAACTTCTTCCAAATTCACATCTCACTTCAAAATCAACACATCAGAAACTCAAGAGTGAGAATCAACACTGAAAGGCAAGGCAGGAGCAATGGGGGCAAGATAGATTTTCTGGATACTTGGTGGTAAAGAGATTACTTGCTCACTGACTTTGGTGGACGAGGAGGAGAAGCTCTGGAACCCACAGGTGAAGGTAATTATCAGTACACTAATCTAATCTGACTCAAGAAAAGTGATTTTCTCACCAATGACACCAACAAATCTCCTCTCTGGTCAGTGATAACCCAGTACAGTACTGACTTACACAAAAAGATTTAGGATTGAGTGACACTATCATTTAAATGTTACCAAAATCTAAGACTCAACCATTATAACTTGTACTCTCAGAGGTTTAGTTCTGTATGCCTAAAAAACAAAATACTGTTCTTAGCTATTACCAAGAACTAGTCAGTGATGCCAAATAGAGATCCGCTTGTCACTAAGCATGTCTCATTGGAAATGGCAGCCACACAACATTTATACAGGGTAATGGCACAGATTCAGATAAAGAATGAAGCCACAATTTGCCCAGAGTTAACCATTACCAAGTTCAGCTAATTCAGCCCATGAACTCACTAAGAATCATCAGTCCACTCAAAGGCAAACAGTTAACTGTTCCTGGCATGAACAGGACAAAGAAAAGCTGCCAGATATTCAGGCCAGCTCTGCTGACTGGGTCAGGTCATTTAGTGCCCTGCTGCATAGCTATTAGCTAGCAGGAACTCTGTTGCTCTTATATGGTGTATCATCTTTGTCAGCCTCCCCTCCAACAGCTACACCCAGTAACAAATAATTCTAATCTTTTTTTTTCCCCTGAGACAGGATTTCTCTGTGTAGCTTTGGAGCCTATCCTGGCACTCGCTCTATAGACCAGGCTGGCCTTGAACTCAAGAGATCCACCTGCCTCTGCCTACCAGTGCTGGGATTAAAGCAGTGAGCCACTAATGCCTGGCCAAATAATTCTAATCTTAAATGAAAATTTTGCTCTCTAGAACAGTAGAGCTAGAATGGATGTTAATAAAAACTGTATGTCAAAAACAAAGTGGTGGACGGCTGGCTCATGCCTATACTGGGCTATGGGTCACATACACAACAAGTGCCTTTCTCAAAACCACAAAACCACAAAAAAATAAATAAATAAAAGAAACAAATGAAAAATGAAGTAAACTCTCTCAGGAACAAAATGGGAATAACTCAATATGATTAAAGTCCCAGCCCAGAATGACAAGCAGCACCAGGGAGAGGAAGGCAAGAGGACTACCATGTATATGGTAGAAGCCAGACTAGGAACACACTGTGATAGTTCCAGCTCCAAAAGCATACACCTTTAGTCCCAGCACTTGGGAGGCAGGAGGATCTCTGTGAGTTGGAGGCCAGCCTGGTCTACAGAGTGAGTTGTAGAGTGCCAGCCAGTAAGTTACAGAGAGAAACCCTGTCTCAAAAAATAAATAAATAAAACATTTTTCAGTCAAAATGTATTTCATTTATGTCTAACAGCTCAGAGAAAGAGGGATCAAAACATCATACATGGCTGAAAAGATTGCTGAACCATTAAGAGTGCATACATCACTTGCAGAGGACTCAAGCTTGGCTCCTGCATCTACAACCACCTACACCACCACTCCAGTGGGATCCAACACCTTTGTGCTCTCCATAGGCACCTGCACTAAAGTGCATCCCCCACTTAAAAATATGATTAAAAATAATGACAACAGATAGACACAGCAGTACACTTTTAATCCCAGTACTAGGGAAGCAGAGGCAGGTGGACCTCTGTGAGTTTGAAGCCAGCTAAAACTACATAGTGAGACCCTGTCTAAAAACCACACTTTGGATAGAAACAGCTTTATAGACTCCAAGAATGAATCAAAATCAGTTGCTTTCCTAGCACTGCCACCACATGACAGGCACTAGAAAGCATGACTAGAGGAGGAAGGACGGTCACCACTGGGAAAGCATATGCCTGAAAGGACACTAATTTGACTAAAGCTGGCATCTAAATCCAGCAATCAGGATGCCCATAACATCAGCCTGCATGCACACACAGAAATGTCTCTATTTCTACCTTATATGCCCACAACAGATTATGACTGCACAGCTGTTTAATTTACCCAGCTTCCTTTGGCCCTTATCCATACAATACAGGCCACTAAATAACTTTATTAATTAAAAGCAAAACAGACAAACCTGTATGTTTCAATCCTAGGCTTTAGCAAGATGGCTAATTCAACAACAACACAACTCACAAAAATGTCATGATGCAAAACAGTAAAGAACACTGTCATTTTCCTTATAATTCATCATCTCAATCACAATGCTGAGATTTCAAAACTTGGTGCATAAAAGACCGATAATAGGGCCAGCTGTGGTGGCACACACCTTAGATCCCAGCATTCAGGAAGCAGAGGCAGGCAGTTTGTGAGTTTGGGGACAGCCTAACTAGTGATCCACTGAGACTCAAGACTCAAGATAGGTAGACAAACAGATAGACAGATAGATGAATAAATAAATGTCATACTCCCATTTGCAAACTCTTTACATTTGAAAGACTTAAAAATCACTGAATTTTCCCTGACTTTACAATTTCATGTCAGGAACTAGCCACCACTAAAGCTCAACAGGAGCTGCTGACTGTGCTGGGGAGACAGCTCAGCAGTTAATAGCACTTCAGGTCTGTTCCCAGCACCCTTGCCTGATGGCTAACAATGGCACATTAACTAGTTCCAGGGGACCAGACATCCTCTTCTGGCTTCCAAAGGCACCCAAACATTAGAAAAAGAAAGAAAATATTCTAAAATATCTCTGAAAATCCAGACATGGTGACATACACCTGCACCCAGCATTCAGGGTAAAAGTAAGGTAAGGTAAAAGAAAGTAAAGAGTTCATAGTTCTCTTTTACTATATTGTAAATTCATGGCCAGCTGGACTACCTAACACCCCCCCCACACACACACACAAAATCAGAGTGCAGTGTGGTAAAACATAATACCAGCTTTTCAGAAGTAAAAACAGGACAGTCAGATATTTGATGCTAGCCTGGACTACATAAGACTGAATGGAAAGAATTCCCAGCTTTACTCTAGAGATCCCAAATACATAAAATACTTCATTCTCTTATGTGAACAAATGAGAGAACCTGAGGCTTTATAGATTCTAGAAGCCTCTATCACTGAGCTAAACTCTGACACAGAGACACACATAACATTAGTGAAATTTCGGTCGGGCGTTGTTGGCGCATGCCTTTAATCCCAGCACTCGGGAGGCAGAGGCAGGAGGATCTCTGTAAGTTCAAGGCCAGCCTGGTCTCCAGAGTGAGTGCCAAGGATAGCCTCCAAAGCTACAGAGAAACCCTGTCTCGAAAAACCACTTAGGTGGTGATGATATATATAGCACCAAAACTTGCATTTCCCCAATTCTAACCAGAGATCCCAAACTGCTGGTTCAGTCAGCAGAACCCAACCAATCGCCAAACACCTTTTGCCACATTGAGAGATTTTTAATGAAACAGAATTTCTACCTTCAGGTAAAGTTTAGGTCTCAGAAACACTATCAAGTTCTTTTTTTGCTTTTAAGAGCTTATTTATTATGTATACTGTTGTTCTGGCATGCCTACATGCCAGAAGAGGGCACCAGAACTTATTATAGATGGTTGTGAACCACCATGTGCTTGCTGGGAATTGAACTCAGAACTTCTGGAAGAGCAGCCAATGCTCTTAAAACTCTGAGCCTCTCCAGCCCCTTCATTGTCAAGTTCTATGCCATGCAAATGACCAAGCCCTTACAACACTGTTCCTTAGGCCATATGACAGTCACTTACATAGTTCTTGACTTCCCGTCGAGCATTAGCATCAATAGCAAGCCACCTCTGCTGGTACTGTGCCTTGATATCTGGATCTTTTGATGTCAAAGAGTTCTTGATTTGTAGACCAGCTGCAACTCTGGCAACCTGACTGTTTCCTGGATTTGCCAGCACTCTGGACAGTTCCACAAGGAACGTGGGCTATTGAGAAAAGATGAATTTGTGAGCATCTCAGAAATTCCAACTTCCTTGTAGAACATTCAAATACTGAGACACACACAAAAGAAATTTAGATCACATTCAAATCTCTCAGGAGCCTGTGAAATATCTATTTGAAGTGGTACCTGCCTAGACTCAACACTCAAGAGGTTTCCTTGGGTTCAGCAATCTTAAAGCCAAACAAATGAGGCAATTTAACAGGATCCAACTTCAAAGTAAGTTCTATAAAAACATTACTTACTATACAAAGAGATGGTGTCTTCCTACCAAGATCATCCCTTGTGCACAAATGTTCAGACAGCTCCCCAGAATTAAAGAAAAGTGACAACCTAACACTGGGTTATCCTAGGTTCAAGGTTCCCAATGCACCTATATATACTACTGCAAATTTGCTGATACAGGATGAGGGAGAAAATTGGTGTATAATTTAAAATTAAAATCTAGTCCAAAATAGTAACACTCAGTGCAGCTTTCTGATCTTACACAAGTGAACGTTTGTAACAGAAATATATGTTAAGTCTACAACAGATGAAAGTACCTAGTCCTTGCAGCCTAGTTCTGAGTGTCCAACAACAGGGATTTAAGTGGTAAGTGATAACTAATATTCAGAAATGGGAAAAAATGAAGATAAAAATGACAAGACAAAGCCAGGCAGCAGTGGCGAACACCTTTAATCCCAGCACTTGGAGGGCAGAGACGGTGGATCTCTGTGAGTTCAAAGCCAGCCTGATCTACAGAGTGAATTCCAAGACAGGCTCCAAAACTACAGAAAAACACTGTCTTGAAAAACCAAATGACATGGCAAGATAAGTTGTCTCAAGAAAAATCATTTTCTGTACCAATAGCCCTCTCAAGTTTTGAAAATATCCACTCTTTAAAATACAAGTCCAAAAATCACCTCTGTGTGTGTGTGTGTGTGTGTGTGTGTGTGTGTGTGTGTGTGTGTGTGTGTGTGTGTGTGTGGGGGTGGGGGGGCTCGCGCGCTCGTGTGTATGAACCTGCCCAAACAGAAAGTTAAAGTGGCAAAAGTAGACATATTTCCTTACTATTAGCTAACTCTTAAAAATACAGGAGGTAATTCCCAAAGGTTTACTATATGGCACTAAACAGTGATAGGAGCAAGGTAAAGGATTTTTTTTTGCAAATAAACAAAATATACCATGAGTGGAATTCTCATTCTACACTAACAAGGAAATGCTTAAAAGGGGGTGCACTAAAAGATGAAAGGTTAATAAAAAGTCCCTTACCTAAGTACTGAAAAGGCGGTTTGCACAAATGTGTTCTGTCCCTATGGATGTTACTATTTTACCAAGCCATCACAAAGGACTACATTTGGTTACAGTGTTCTTTCAACTTACTACCTTTTAGAGACTTTCAGTACCATCCACCCTTCCCTGTTACCAACCCCTGAGAGGAGAGAGGGCTACCAAAGAGAAACATTCTGGCACGAGACTACTTCAATCATCTCTCATTTTCCTACACACAGGTCAGGTTGCTTTTTTTTTCTTTTTAAATGTACCTCTTAAATGAGAAAATATGAAAAACGGGGTAACTGTGATTTCTTCAGGGAATAAAGCCCAATCTCAGGAATGAGGCTCAGACTCTGGGCAGGATACAGATCCCTAAGGATGAGGTCCCTAATGATCCAAGCCCAAACATAACATACACGCACGCTTAGCTCAGGAGAGGGATAACAGGGCCCGAAAGGGAAAAAAATAGTGGCAATGGGTTCAGAGGTGGTCGGCTGCCAGGCGTGGCCCTGAGCAGACCATGGGAGCTGCGAAAGGGTAGGGCTCTGGAAAGTAGGTGCAGACAGCCACAAGAGGCATGGGGTTGGAAGGAAAAGCCGGCACCCGCCAGTAGAAGGCAGGCAGCAGGGCGCTGAGCTTCCACATGGCCCCTAGGCCCGGCTCCCCAACCCCCACCCTTGCTGAACACGCAGCGCCATGCAACCTAACTTCCCTTCCCTCCCTCTTTCTCCCTCCCGCTGCACCGCCGCCCTCAGGCCGCGAGGCGATTGGACAGCGATCACCCCGGCTCGCCTCGCCATTGGCCAGACGCAGGGCCCGGGGCGGGACACACCCACCGGCTTCCCGATGGCGGGGTTAGGTTGG